CATTCGCCTCGCGGGCATTGTGTTATCTCAGGTGTGAAGAAGTGACTGAAATGGCAACGACGGACCGTTTCTGGAGGTGGAGGTTGAGGTTAGCGGAGAGGTGCGAGGCGACCCTAGAAAGGGCGACCCTGCGACCCTGGCCCTGGGGCAGAAGCAGACGATTCCCGTGATCTGGTAGCAGGTTAGTCGGCCCAGTCCCGGTGGTCCTGCCCTGCCCCTGTTAATAAGTTTATGACTGACGCAAGTGTCCGCGTGTCCTTCTCTGGTCCCAATAAATCGTTGGTGATTGGAGTCTCGTGCGAGCCGGGCCGGCCGCCGGGCCTGGCGTCCAGGATGTTGTCGGCCTCCATCGCGCGCTGTTATATTTCGGGTTACCAGAGATAACAGCTTGGTTATACTAACGCGTCACCTGACGAGGAAACCAGTTCGGCGCTCCAGGATACATTCGTTATTATTGAACGGCTATGGTTAGAGAATATTTTGCTTTTTTGATGCGGGGAAATAACTTTAAAGTGGTCCACATTGTGCCGACCGCGCTACCGCGCGGGGTAGCGACGTGAGAGCCGTGTCGGTTGGGTCGCATAGCCTCGCGGCGCTGCTGGAAGGGGAAACCACTCACACAACCTATGTAAACGACAACAAACTTAGTTTTATTTAAACACGAAGGCAGAAAAATATCACAGCAACGATTGTTATCAGCTCCCTTTCAAGCAGACCTCCGATGATGTAGTTCTTATTGGCACAGTATTGGTAACTTTTCACGCCCTCCGCCCCCTTATCCCCTTGAAAAACGCAGGGGGGTTGTATTACGCGGAATTTCCTTAGACTTCTAAAAGCGTAAATCCCGAATTTGGAAAATCTAATCGGCGTCCTGAGTGAGCACAATCACCAGTCGCCGTCCAGGAGCTGCCGGCTGTTGGTGCGGGCGCCCTCGCAGGGGTAGTACTTGATGGCCACCCGGCCCTCCTCGGCGGAGCGCACCGTGAGCGGGAAGCCGTTGGGGAAGACGCGCAGCGGCAGGTTGTTGCAGGCGGCGGCGTACTCGCCGTCCTTGCGCAGCACGATGAGCGCCCCGGAGAAGTCCGGGTAGCGCGCGGCGATGCGGCGGATGGCCTCGTTGGCCGCCTTCTCGGGCGTCGCGCCCTGTCGCATCAGCTCGACGGCGAGGAACCTGTGGGCGGGGGTCAGGAGGAGGTTTGTGCAAAGTCAGTGGTCGGTGGCTCGTATAGAAATGTGGACATACTCAAAAACTAAAGGGAAAAGAGAGGTTGGGGGGAGGGGGAGGGTTACTTTGTCGTCTCTGGTTGAGACAACCTCGGAGATTGTCCAAAATCCAAAAATCGCGTTACGGATGAACACCACCATTGGAGAAATGGCCGAAAGTCTGGTCAGATTCATGGATGAATGGCCCACAAGATTTTCGCCCATTCCTGTCCCCAAGATGCACGCCTCTCGAGGCCACGCTCGTGCTAGCGCCTGCGACGCGCTGGGTAGGCCAACCCGCCAGGCAGCTGTGTGGAGCTGACGGCCCGCCCGCCGGCTGTAGCGCCTGCAACGCGCTGGGTAGGCCAACCCGCCAGGCAGCTGTGTGAAGACGGCGGCCCGCCCACACCGCCCGAGTGCGGGAGCGTCGGCCAAGAGATTCGTCCAACGTTACCTCTCGTCACTTTAATTGTGGGGGCATCTCTATGGTGTCCGTATGATTTTAGGATTGGGTCTCGATAACGGAGGGAAGAGAGGGAGGGAAGAACCGATTTGATGAGTTGGACTTACGAAGGAACGAATCTCATCATGATGTCCCCGTCGCCGGTCGCGGCCGCCGCGCCGACCTCCTGGTCTGCGAACGCCCCGGAGCCGGGGATCGGCGAGTCACCCACCCTCCTAAAGTAGATGTGATACAGACCAGTGTTTAGAGCTTACAGCAGCACACGCACACGGCTCGCAGCTCTGCTGCTTCCGTCTCGGGACTCACCCTGCGATCTTGTGGCGCGCGCCGTTGGTCGAGGTGCCGGCGGCCAGCCGCCCCTCCGCGTCCATGGCCACCATGCCGATGGTGTCGTGGTTCCAGGGGTCCACCACGGCCCTCGGGACGGACGCCCGCCTGCGCCTCCGCCTGCTGGCCTCGGCCGGCGCCGCGGCCTCGACGACCTCGGGGATGGTGTCCGTCGGCGCGACGCCCGACGTCGTGGACTCGGGGACGGCCGTTGTCATCGGGTTATCGTCGGCCACGGCCACCTCGGGTGCGGTGACGGTGTTGGTTTCGACTGCGCTGTCCACCATAGTCTCCTCGGTGGAGACGGGGACTGCGGGATCCGCAGACTTCACCTCCGGAATAGCCTCCGCCGTCGTGACCTCTGCTTTCGCCTCGGTTACTGCTTCAGTCGTGATCTCGACGGGCTTGGCCTCAGCCACGGTCACAGCTTCTCCACTCCTGACCTCTTCCGTGGCGGTTTCCAAGGGCTTAGAATCTGTCACAGCTTCGTTGGCGGGCTCCGACGAGATCGTTGCAGGTACGAATTCGGTCGACACTTCCACGGCCTTGCCCTCAGTGGTGGCCTCGATTAGTTTGCCCTCCGTCGTGGATTCGACTTTTGTCTCGGTGGCCACCTCTATGGTTTTGGCCTCCGTCACGACCTCGGTGGGCTTGGCCTCCGTCGAAGCCTCGGTGGGCTTTGCCTCCGTCACGGCCTCTGCCGTGGGCTTGGCCTCCGTCGCAGCCTCGGTGGGCTGGGCTTCTGTCACAGCCTCAGTGGCTCTGCCCTCCGTCACAGCCTCGGTCGGCTTGGCCTCCGTCGTTGTTTCGGTGGGCTTTGCCTCCGTCACGGCTTCGGTGGGCTTGGCCTCGGTCTTGGGGAGCATCGGCTTGGGCGCGAGCTCCGCCGCGTGGATCTCGGACAAGATGGGGAACTTCTCGTCGGGTCGGTAGGGTCCGCACTGCTTCCTGGG